CCGGGGCTCTGACGTCACAAACGGCTCCGGCCGCACACGCCCCGCCGCCGCCGCGGGGCCCCGGGGGGCGGGCGGCTCCGCGGTTCTCCGCGGGTAGGGGCGCAGCGGGCGGCGTTTCTTCCCCCCCCCTCTCCTTACCCTAACCCCGCGTCCGCGGAAGGGGGCAGGTAAGCCGGAGGAGAACGGAGGTGAGAGAGGACGGCCGCGCTCCTTCCGCGCCCGCGCAAGGGCGCGCCACCCCCCGCCCCTTCAGGGTGCGTGTGTGTGTGTGCGTGTGTGGCGGGGGGGGGACAACACACACAGAGGACAGAGAAGTGAGTGTGCCCCAAAGTTTGGGGGCGGCTGTGCTTGCACCGGGTGCGGAGGGGGATGGCCGACCCGTTGCGAGAAGTCGCGCTTTTCCTTTTTATTTTATTTTTTTAACCCGCTTTTCTCTATTTTTTTTATTTTTTAATTTTTTAAAAAACTTTTTCTCTCTCTCTATTTTATTTTTTTCCCCTTTCAGCCCCGGGTGTTCCTCTCGGTGCCCGTCTCCCCAGCGCAGGGCCGGGGGCGCCGAGGCCCTGCCTCCTCCAAAACGCTCTCCCCCTCTCTCTCCTTTTATTTTTTTCCCCTCAAAAGACACCGAGCTGACGCCGGGGGAGGAAATTAATTTTCGATTTTGTGACCTTTTTTTTTCCCCGTTTTAGAAAATAACGAAGTCCGGTATCTCTGCTTTAGACCGAACCGAAGCCGTCGCTTTTTCTTTTTTTTTTTTCCTCGCCGCTTCGCTGAGGGGAAGGACCGGGGCGAAAATAAAACGGGCGCTTTCTGAAAAGTCGGAGGCTGCACCTGATCTAGTCGGGGCTATTTTTAAAATTCTTTCAGCTTGCAGTGAATTTTAGTCATTTCTAGGCGTGGGTAGCGGGGGGGTGGTGTGTGTGTAGGCAATTATTCCTTAGGGAGGGGGGAGAAGGAAAGCGAACCCTCGGGAAGCGGCCAAGTTTTCGGCGGGTCGTTGTGTCGGCGGCTCCCGGGGAAGCCCAGCCGCCTTCCGAGAGGAGAGGGTTGCTTCCCTCTATTTTTTTTTTTTTGGTTCTAGGGAGAAATATATTAATTAATCGTGTCCTTGGCTCCCTGCGTTGCCGTCCTTGGGAGGGCTGTGCCGGGGGAAATGCAGTTTTTCCCCGCGCATCCGAAGAAGGAGCGGGAGGGAGCCGTGTGTGTGTGTGTCTCCCGGTTTTCCACCTCGCCCTTGTGTGTTTTACCCGGGATACAA